GGGTAGATAGTCAAATGACGGGAGCGACGGCGCGGGTAAGAGCTAGTAGTCATCTTTAAATTTTGTGACTATCAAACTCATTTTACGATGGTCAATATAAAAAAATAAATACAATTTATTTTCGACTACGTTAACACCCGAAATATCACGTATATGCGTATATATTATTAATTAGCCGTTCATATTAATTAAAGCAAAAACAATGGCTGTTGAAAAGGTTCATACTCTGGAAATACCGCAGCCTGACTAGTCAATTAAAACTTTGAGTGCCCTTTCGAAGCTCAGCGGCGAACAGTGACATTTTTGTACACAAATAAAGGCTACCGATAAACTATACATACTCGTATATCAAGGATGATGACAGAATATAAAATTAAACATTCATTTACACTGGCAGTTACATTATGAGAAAGAAATTTCATTTTGCAATATCATGCAGACCTACTACATATTTAGTTTAATTGTCGTAATTTAAACTCTTTTATGAATTTAGTTTGGATTGGCATACTTACCAGTATTAAATGAAGATTTAAGTTAGAAAAAAAAAGAATGAAAATATTTATGAGTGAAATAAATAAATACAAAAGAAAAAATAAGACTTTTTCATTGAAAAGTTGAAATAAAAATTTTTTAGATACTTGCCTTTAAGCTTTATTACAAATATACTTTGGCAAAGAATAAAGATTAAGTTCTATATTCAAGTTTAATCGATACTATCGTAAAAAATATTAATATCATCACGACCAAAAATTTTTTCGTCCTTAAAATTTAAAATATTTCACCAAACATAATAAAATGTAGTCGCCATCCCTATTTTGAGTAATATCGTCCTAATTAGTTGTAATTGTAGTGTTAAAGTTTTCGAGCATTCTCTTGTTATTTAGTTTTATGTTGAAAGTGGTCTATCGTCAAAGTTTATTTCCGAATCGTCGCACTCTGAGCCATTTACTAATAACATTTAATACGGTAGTTTCCAACTAGTCAAATTCAATACTTTTATCCAAACGTCAAAAACGATACTTTTCTATGAAATTTGTATGAAAAACTGAGCTATGATGTCATAACATTTTTGCGTCAAATAGCTTACTTATTTCACAATAATAAGCTAAAAAAATCTAAAACTTGGTGTATCGATCGATCGATGAATAAAAGTATAGTTATTTTTCAATATTTTATTGTATTGAAACATCGAATTAATTTATTTTTGACCTAGGAAACTACCCAATTGTTACTTAATTCAATCCTTAGTTATTGTTTTTGGCCTGGGGTTGCAGAGCAATGCACCGCAGGCTCAGCCTGCAGCAGTAGACGGAATGAGGTTAGTTTTCAGTCAGTAAAAGTCTTACCCCACTCGGGGCGGGAGAAGCAATGGGATGACATTCCCTTTTCAAAACGAAAATGTTTTCGATACAAAATCATAACTGAAGAATAGTTTATAGATCCATCTTAAAATAAGAAGTTTCTGAATGTGCAAGTTATTTCCAGTTCTTAGTAGTTCTTATTTATTTTAAGTTATACTATTTTAAAGACACATAAAGTGATGATGAAAATGTAATAACATTTTAACGCAAATGTTTTAAAATTTGATCAACATCTAAAAGTTAGGTGTTTCCTATAACTTCTGACTCAGTGATCGAGGTCAACGCACACAGGTCATGAACTTTACAAGCCTTCCGGAATATTTCTATTAAACTTTTCTTCAGTAACTAAGGACGTCTTTTTTTCAAGAATCTCCGATATTTCTATGGAACTTGAAACTGAAAAATAATATCTGTAATAGAATACATTATGATTAATTTTTACAAAGGACTAACCTAACCTCTCTTTTATCAAATATGGCAAAAGGTCGGGGGTTATTCAGTCAGTATAAGTCTGTCTAGCCCTCTTCTCGCTCCTTGCAAGAAGACATTGAATGAAATTCCTGCTCAAAAAAGAGAAGATATGTAAAGGTTTCAAAATCTACTTTTTTTAAAGGCATAATTTATTTATTTGTACTTGATGCACAATTTGACATGTACATTAGGCGGACTTAATGCATTGAGCATTCTCTACCTACTAATGTTATCCATGCAAATATATGTAAATATGGATGGATTGATTTTAGGTAGTCTTCTTGTTAATACTACGGAAAGATGAAAATGTTATGAAGATGGAATATTACATTCTATTACTAATTTTTAAGCCAATGGCTTAAGCCAGCTTCAATATAAATTATCGTCTATAAATAAATACACGTAAAAGACTTCACAATCCACGTCGTTTTAAAAACGAATTGTAACATAGAGCAATGCATTAATATTAAGTACTTAAATATTAATTTTGTCAAAATATAAAACAAATAATGTTGTAAAGTACTGTAATTTTTTTTGGGCCCGTAGTCATCGCACCTGAAGCTTGCCTGAAACGAAAATATGTATTTAAGTATCCGTCTGGTTAAAACTTATTCGAAGGTGATAAACTGAAACTGAAAATTAGCTTGAAGTAGAGATTTGCACGTGATTGAAAAAGTACTTTGAGAAAAAATCTAGATGCTTAATGAAAAAGCAAATACAGTCAACATTTATTTTTCACTAGCTCCTAGCGACTGCTTTGCCCGCAGCACAAGATAAGTAGCATTGATTGAGATTAATCAAGACTATAATCTATCTCTGTAAAAATTTCGATCAAAATGCACTCAGAAAATTAGGCGTCTGTCCATCCTTTACATAATATAGCATTTACAAACTTTCCACCATTGATATAAGCTTAATTAAATGTTGACAAATATTAAGAAAGTAATTGTAAGCATTATTTCTCTTCACATGGGTGTGTCTTAAGACCTCCAAAGGGTCTCTTACGATGGTAGGAACTGGTTGGACTCCTGTACCTCCACACAAGCAAAGACACCTTAAGGGACTACATATTTGACATACACCGGGCAGTAGCAATCTCTAATTTATATTTGCAATCTTCAACCCGCTTGTCACACATGTTATATTATGACTTACCCTGCTTAAGAAAAGAAGAATCCAATAAATGTTTATTGACAAAGTTGAGTGGACCGGGCCTATCTTAAAATACCGAAAAAGTGTCGGTGAGCTTTGCTTTGACACGAATGAGCCGGTTTAACTAAAGTGGTACCACTGCCTCACATTAAACTGGCGTGAAACAAATACAGTATTGTACTTTAATCGTGACCAGTGGCTCAATTCTCTCCCCCTCTTCTTTCATCCCCATTCCTGTTGAATCTCAAAAAAATAACACCACAATAACTACTCTGCTAGCAGTCGGAACGACCATATTTACTTTCAATAGTATAATTCTTCTTCTTCTTAGTCGCTACACTCTTGGCAGAGTGGTTGTGGATGGACGGGTTGCGCCATACCGTCGTCCTTCCCTTCAAGAGTAGCACGTTGAGCGATGTCTGTCCACTTTTGTCAACTTAAACTGGTTAGGAATATTATGATAATTACGTTAAAAAAATCGTTGCCGTTGGCCTAAATTACTGAATTCTAAAAATTAACAAACAGAACAAAAAACTATGTACTCAAAATTAATTATCCATTACTTATTGATCCCCTTGATGAGAACTTGTTTTTAATACAAATTTATTGTAGAGACTGATGACAACTATTGAATTCTACATTTCACTTTGTAAACTTTATGTATTTTAAGAATAGCTTTACTGAATGAATTTGCCGGGATTATTCGACCGAAGAATTTTCTTTCGATTTTATTTTTTACAACGGTCTACAAAAATAACAGAAACCGAATATCGAAAAAAAAATGAAAAAAAACTACCAGGTTTGCAGTTTTGCGAGAAACCTTTCTATAATCTAGTACGTTAACAAAACGAAAACGTAACGTAAAAGCGAATGTTCGGTGGAGGGCTTACGGTGAAGTCTCTTTCACATGGTATGAAGGAATTGCAAAATCCAATCAGGAACATGGCTGAATTCAAGGAATCGGTGTATTGGAGCCTCCAGTTATGGACATGGCTACACGGATACAACGTAACCCCGTAAATGGATTAAGGGGAACATGAAAATAAACGTAAAGCCAGTAAATATTGTTGATGCCCCGGCAAACGAGCAGACAGAATACCTGATGGTTAGCATTCAGCGTAATTTTTGTAATTGGAAACGTAATAGTACGAAGAGCATTGACGGATTTTTCCGTAGCAATTTAAAGCGTGAGGATTTATGGATAGGGGTTGGGGCTTTTTAGGATTTTACACATGTTACTCTAATAAAAACTGTAAGTCTATTTAGTAAGTATTTGAAAAATCTTTGGTATTTTAGTTTTTGAAATTTGTTTAACTTTTTGCCGTAGCGGATGCTATTGATTGAAAATGTACCCTACAAATTTTAAGGCTATAAATATCCATTCGCTTTAAACGTAACGTAAATACAGTCTAAAATAGATAGTCAATAATATTCATATTTGTAGTTTCTTTTTTTTTACAAAATGTTCTTTAAAACAATGAAAATAATTCTGTAGTTGTACTTGAACCCTATTAAATCAGTTTATTTTGGACATACGTAGTTATCGATGCGGAAAAATCTTTTTCGATGAAGAAATAATAGGCTTACGTACCACGCAATAATTTCTAAGAAAATTACAAAAATAACGTAATTAGAGTACCTACCTACATATTAACCTTTTTGTAATAAGTCTTTTTTGTACATTTTTCTAATTGCTTTCACCTATATATATCTTCAAGGCCTTTCTTAGAATGTTGTTGAGACGCAATCGATATTTCTTAAAAGGTTCGAATCATCTTCAAGTCTATTTATTATAGTATTAGTAAAGTGTTTTCTTAGAAACAGAAAAATTATATTAAAGAACAAAAGTTTAATATTTCGCTGATTTTCAAAAAATGTTGTTGTTTACCTAAACTGCGCTTCAGATAAAGATTATTTTAATTCTTCTGATAACTTATTCCTACTGAAAAATTGAGAAAGATAGAGACAATGTCCTATTTAAATTCGGATGAGATATTTATAAGATTCAGTCATTGATCATAGTCGATTCTTCAAAGAGAAGTACTCGCAGCGATAATAAAATGAGGAATCCGTAACCCCGAGATCTTGTGTCTCGTAACATTGGCGTCGCGTCAGATGAGCGCGAGTTGCTCGGCGCACGAGCGTGTTGTAGGCCGCGCGGCGCTGCCGTCGCTTTAACGAAAATAAGTCGCCGCGCGCGCAGTTATCGCCCGGCTCCGCGGGTATTCGAACGAAATGCGCCCTCAATATGGGCAGCAACTGTTGCAAAGGCGATGCCGGCGGTAGACCTATCAGGTCTAACTCCTCTATATACAGCAGGTATTTCTTGCTGGCTATAACCATTCTACAGGAGTTCTTCGGCGTACCTTGGGTCCTCAGACCTTTACGCCCGTACGTAGTGTAGTGATAGTGCACCAGTGTAGTGTTGTGCTTTGAGGTAGTATAGTTTTAGTTATGTAATTAAGGTCGGGTACCAGTTACAAGTGATCTGTTAAAGCATGTCTCGCTGAATCCGACGGTAAAATAAAGCTCAGTTCGGAGTTCGTGTGGGTTTGATTGGCTTTTGAATTTTTTCCTCAGCGAATTTGATTGGTCTAATTGATTTATTTGTGTTATAAAAATTGTCGATAACCCTTCGGTCGCTTCAGGTGTCTATTGGCTCAGCAGCTTGCCCGGTGGATTATTTGTGTCATAAATTTATGAGTTCATCTCTTATTTTTGAGTGTCACGTTATTTTTATAGATATTTGACGTCGTTTATCTTTATGTGGCCGATATGTTATAGTTTTGCGTAAAGATGACGGCGGGCGTATTTGTCCGCCGTTTGAATATTGCATTGCGACGTATTTCATAAATTACATAATTTATTTGGGTTCAGAACTGAATGTAAGCGGAATGTTTAAAGATGAGTTTATTGATCTGGCTAAATTAATGTCGTGTACGTTAAGTTTATTCCTACGCTTAATCTAGTTTTATATTTATTTATTTTATTTGTATTTGCGTACTCACTACTGAGGCAAAACGATAGAATGAAACATTTTAGTTTGTTGCCTTCCCTTGCCGTGGTGTGGTTACCTTGGCACTACGAAACTTAAATATATTTTTTACTCATCAATACGAACTGTGTTAATCAAGGTTTTATGGGAATTTTAATTGTAATTATGGTTGTTTGTCGGATAATACGTCATCATTTGCCAAGCCATGATGAATGGTATCATAATTACAAGTACATAGGTACATCACATTAACATGATTCATTTCAAATAATTTAATTAAACCAACCCGGATTTATTTAATAGTGTGTTTTAATTATGGATGCATATTGAATTACCTATTGGGTAAAATTTGATCGAGTATATGCTGGATAATCAATCCTTGTTAATTGAATTATTTTAGAGTTTTTTTAAATACTCTAATAGTTTCATCAATAGAACGTATTCTAAATTTAAAATGGGTGTTAGACAATAACTGCTTTCTTATTAATTTTATAGGTGCGAAAGTATTTATCTATAAATAGAAATGTATGCTTTTTTTGGCACCTAGCACTTTTACGGTACACATTTTTTGTTGATACTATGGCATCTCAGAAAATCCTGATGTGTAACAACGATCCGTTGGGTATTTTAAAGGCCGGTAAACCACATATAAAGCGAGGGAGGTCTATGCGCGGTACTTATTGCCTATCGTCAGAATGATGATAATTCTTCACATTTGCATTCATAAAACAACAAACAAAATATAGTTGTTAATATACGATACGATGCGTAGGAAAGCTATTATAAAATGTTTTTAAAAGCCATTTAAAAAAGTGTATTCATTTGTTTCAATCAGTTGGATTTGATAAAAGCATCGTATCTAACTACCAAAGAGTATGTAACCACTACGTTTACTAACTACCAGTTTTATTTTTTTTCCTGTAACAGCTATTATTTATCTTCTGGTTACATTTTTGAAAATAGAAACAGTTTTGTGTATTTCAAATAAAAAATGTACACAATTCTATTTTTGAACTACTACGCGTGGACACTAGCACTTTAAGCTACCCATGTAGTTAAAGTCGTTATAAAATGTCAACTTTATTGCAAAGTAATAAAGAATGAATATCATTTGTGAATAATTATCAAGTAGGTTGAAGAGACATAGACAATAGCGCTCTATGATAGTCTTGAACCTTCTTGCGCATGTTACAGCACCTTTCTTTTGCGACATTTAAAAATTACGTTCTATATTCAAATTTATCTGGAACATAGAAATAATTCAGACACTGAAAAACAGTCTCTTTAACTGCGATCTCAAACCCGTATTCTAAATACAGCAGAAATGGTCGTCATCTTACAATGATGTTAATGACGAAGAAAAAGAAAAAGAGAAATTATGTTCTTTGACTAGGTAGGCATAAATGGAACTTCATATTTCTATTAAGAACTTTATAATGGAAATAATATTTTTGTAGCTAATAGAGTTGAACTTAAAATGCTTATAGCAAAGTAAAGGCTATATTTTCGAGTTCGAATTAATTATTTTTATTACTATTTTGCGATTCTAGAATGTAGAATAGTCAATAGGTCAGTACTTTTCAGGATTAGTAATCCTACTTGGTAATCGATGAAATTTGAACTCAAACCTCTACAGGAGTAGGGACGAAACCCTTCTTTTTCTACCTTCCTGTTCTAAAAAGTTGCGCGTTTAAAAATCGCTGCGGTTCGGCGCTAGTTCAAGCAGGGTGGTCCAAAACCGTAGTACGGCTGCAACCATATAACGTAGGTACGTAATCAACAAAACATAGTACCGACCCTCACTGAGGCAGGTACTCAGGACTTACAAACTTTTTTCTAAATGTGTTTGAGGTACCATATAGGATTGAGTGGGGATATTTTTGAGACACCGTATTATTATAAGCTAGAATCTTCAAAAAACTTTTTCACAATCCGAGAACCAAGGAACCGTTACTTGGTGATTGACGATATGCGGTGTTTGATAGAGCGGAAAACGAGCAAACAGGTTACCGAATGCGTTGCAGGCCTTTTGAGGTAGAAAGTCAAAGATTGTTTCAGGGATCAGGGATAGGAAGATTTGCGTCTTCGGTAAAACTTACAAGGCGAAACAAAAAGTTTTTGTATCATGGCAGTTTCCTGTGAAGCCGTGATGTAACTCCGGTTGAGCTGGAGCATGGCTCTCAACAAATGATTTCTCATATTTTATTTTTACACAGACATGCCTATTACACAAGTACCAACAAAGTCGTCCCTTTAAATCGGCGGACGATGTGGCACTTGCCAATATTACTTAAGAACTATAATTAGCAATGCTATCAGGGCACAATATAAATAAGAACAAACACATAAACACATATGTCATCATGGTTTTTTATATCTTAGCGGCAACCTTGTGCTATGTATTTGGGTCAACGTGTCGGATGCCATTCTGTATCTTAATACAAGGTCTGGATGACGTGTCCTCTAAATTGTACTTTCTACACTTCTTTTAAAAGAATTTTCGTCAGCCTCGTTGGTAGAGGATAGAGGTCGGTGAATTATCGGGTAGACCAAAGGGCATTCTTAGGCAGAATTCGGTTTACCGAAAATCCTAAGTCGTAATAATAGTACGGAGTATAGATGTGTGTAATGTGTGTACATTACTTATGTGGCAAAAGGCTTTCCCGTGCCAGAAGTAATCACTTCACTTATAAGTGCCATCTGCTCGGCAAAGTCCTCTTCTAACACGGAGAAGGTTTAAGCATTATTTGTCATGCTCGCTCAAGGCAGATAGACGATTTCAAACTTAAAATTACAAATTATAAGTCCAGGTCACGATTTTTTCCTTCGTTGTATGTTAGTGGTGTCTAAATAATCCTAGAAAGTCCATAAATATAACTAAAAATATGCCAGGTTTAGGACCAGCTGGAGAAGCGGGCTCATGCATGAGAAGCGGGCGCGTTATTCCGGGACACCTCTCGGAAACAGTACAAGTTAAAAATACAAGTACGAAGAAAAAGTGCCTAGTCTTACATTTGCCCGTTCATTAATTAGGCACTATTTCATTTACTGTGAAACATATTAATCTGAAGTTTCTGTTGGTAGATAATAATATGTTCACCAATTCGGCAACCGAAAGCCCCCGACGGCGAGGCAGTTCCTATAATAAAATTCTCAGTATTGCAACGAGAAATGTGATATTCGGTTATGGTACGCAAATTTTTATTTCATTTTTTTTGGTTGAAATTTCGATATGCTAGTCTGTTATGCCCTATTTTAGTTGGTTTTCTGGTAGTAAAGTTTGGTTGAACATATATTTTTAATGGTAAGTTTATAGTTATTATTTATCAAAATGTATGTATATTTTATCAATGTTTTATTAATAAGAAGTAAAGAATTATTCGATTCTGATACACTCCGGGCGTCGGGGATCATGCGATGATCTCCGATCATCAAAAGCGCGGGAGTGCGAACGCCAAGAAAGGGTAGCTCATCAATCAACCTGAACCAGAACCAAGTCATCTAAGCGTCGTCTAGAACACCGCAAATGGGACTTACTAGGGCCGACGCTCTCCCGCGAAAAAAGAAGAAACTTTTTAGTGCCTCGGGGTAGTAAGCTCCTGACTCTCTCCCTCAACCCACCTCACGTGACAAGTCATGGAACGATTAACATCCTCAAAAAAGCTTTTATTTAAAAAAAAACTATTTTATTAAATAAAATAACATTTTGTAACGTAAACTGTAAAAATCAAACAAAAGTTCAAACAATTAATTCCTACGAGTACTTGCCAATGCACTAAAATATTTCTTGAAACATGAAATAGATTCCCTTTAAACCGTATAGTTAATTAACTGGGAAACCAATTAAGGTTGATGCCAGAAATACCGATGTAGCTCGATACAAACGCATACAAGAGAAAAAAAGCAGCTTCTAACTGGCAACTGTAAACGTAAAATATTAATCTATTATTGAAAAAGTTCATATAATTTTTCGCACTGGCTGTTTCTAAAAAAAAATGATTTTCTTTTTAAATTTAGAACAATATTTGTTTTGTTTTCGGAAGTTGGCGGGAGTTATGGACTTGTTACATAAATAATATTTTTCAAACACATTTATTAAACTATTAATATTGTTTTGAATTTGACGATGAATAAACAATGTATTTGTGGATAATTAACCAAAAATTTCACACTCATACAGACCTTCTTTATTAAGAGAATAATTGAAATTAATTTGTTCTTCTACAAAATGCAATCCTAGGTAAGTAGGTTAAGAGATTTTAATTAAATATGCAGAAGCTTAGTACAATAACCTGAATGAACTGAATAAAAAGGGGATTAAAGCTAAATCTTTGTCATGATAGTTCTC